TTTTTTTTTTTTTTTTTTATTGTAAAGTGTTCCAGAACTGCAGGCTGCAGTAGTTCAAAAAACCTTGTGAAAGATGCAGCACATATATACCACAATTGCTTCCAACCCTAAATTATTATGTTTGCAGCAGTAAGATATAAACATATTTATGTTTGAGTTCACATAGGTGTGCTTCAGTTGTACTTTAAATAATCTTGAAGGATGTATTAATTTGGATTATAGTTCATGATTTAATCTCAGTAGCACAACACAGAGCTTTACTCATCAATTTTATTTTATTTACTGCAACATGTATTTGTAGCTAACAGAAGCTCTTAAAAATTGTACTACAGGCAAATGTTGACTGGATGTGTACTGGCATTGTTTCTGTTGCATATCAGCTATTTCATGATTGTGTCACTTCACCTCTCCAGTAAAACTGTTTTCCTGGGTGAGGGAAATTCCTTGTTCATCAGTATGGATGCATTGTTTTTACACATTAGAAGTGCTGTGTTGCCTTGTCAATCATCCTACTACAACCAGTTTAAGACCAGTGGAACTGACGAACTTGTATGTGATTGGTTACCATATGTTGGGAGGGATTTGTTAGAAGGAAAGGTTGCAGTCTTTCAGCAACAGAGTTCAGGCTGCCTCTGCTTCATCATCTGAGGAAAAATCCCCAGATAAGGCATAAGGCTTTCAGAGCACAAAAAATAAAGAGCAATAGTTATTTTACATGAAAATAGCACCTTATAATGAAGCAATGGAGAAGATGTGGTCGTTTGATTATAGTGGATGTTTCCGTTTACATTGTAAATATGTCAAATAGACGGAGCTAAACAAGGTAGGAGGATCATTGTCTTATATTGAATGTTTAAAGAGTTTGCTGCAGTATGCTGCATACCATATGTGTTGGCTGGGGGAGTCAGGGAAACAAGGTTTTCCAATGCATATTACCTCTTGGAGGGGAGACATGAGTTTTATCATGATTTTATTTTTTGAGTGAATTAAAAATGGAAATAGTTCTTTTCTGAAACAGAACATGAGTATATGTATGTTTTATTAAAAATAAAACATTTAAAATAAAAAATAGGTCAGTATATTTCAAAAGTACTGTTAGCTTAACTGGATTCTTAGCTGGGTTCTCATTTGATAACATTTATTAGATATAATACAGACAATCAGTTAACTTAAAATCAGTAAAGTTTACAGCAGACGTGTTTGATGATTAAGCTAAACAATTTCCAATTCCATGTTAAATAACTGCCAATATAAAATCTGAATTAAAAATATGATGCTCTGTTTTTTAGATTGGAAGCAGGGTTTCAATGAAATTATGATACCTCATTCCACTGCAGCTTGTAAGGAGTATAGGTATTTTTTGAATACACAATGCTTCCCTGTGTTCTTAAAGGCAAGCCACTAAAGAGTTTTGATATTGTAGTTTAGTAAAATGTTTTCCTTGCCATTTCCAGGTCTTTGTTTTATGCTCAAAAGTAAAACCTTTAAATAAAAACAGGGAAAGCAAGGTTTATAATACTGCAATTATCTGCTCTTTATGCATTTTTAATGAGAACACACAGCCAGCAGAATAATTTAATGAGCAGCCTAGCTTTTAAAGCAGTGTTTTCACTGTGCTGAACCATATCAACTTTCTTGCTGAGAACTAGCAGCAGGAAGCAATGGAGATTTATGTTAAATGGTGTTGGCAACAAGAGGGAGAAAGGAGTTATTTGAGACAAAATTCTGTTAAATTTTGCAAGGAATGGGGAGTTCATACCTGACTGTAAGCCCTTGAAAGCAAGTATCTAAAGTAAACTTCACCAGGGCATTTCAATAAGGGTATGTATACCATGTCTAATCCTGTGAGGTGCTTAGCTTTTTCAACTTCCATTGACTTTAATGGTGCTCGGTACTTCCCAGGGTCAAATCCATAATTACTACAGGAATGAATCTACTGTCTTCAACAGTATTATACACATCCAAGGTGTAGCATATTTTTAGGAAGGCAAGTGAAAACTAATTGTAGTGTTAGGAAAAGGAATAAATATCTTTCCTCCAGTACCCATCTGTGCATTAGTACGCAAAGCATCATTAACTGGATAGTAGAAAAATCAATGTGTAACTTGAGGAACTACATAATTAGTGTTTTAAAGAAGAAAAATAAGAGCTGTAAAACTTAGTAACAGTGTAATTTTAAGCAGACATTTTAAATAATTTTCCTAATATGAGTTTAAATTATTGTTTAGAAAAATGCATCATTAAATAGATTCTTCTAGACTCACTATTTTGTCTTCAAGGAGAAGTACAGGACACTAGCTCAAAACTTCTGATGTCATCTCCCAACTCCTCCTGATTCACTCTGTCCTTTTTTCAGGTTTGGCACAAGTAAAAAAATACCTTATAAAGCACCAGGAGCTATAATTTTGGCATGTCATTTCTTCTAAACCTGTAATTTTTAAATGCTAAACTTATCCAAGTTATTCTAACAGTATGGCACTTGAAGAAAATGGTTTGTGAGACAAGATATAAATAGCTCCATCTTTTCCAACCAGCAAAATATAATCTAACACAATTTAAGCCTCACAAATAGGATTTTTCATACTGAGCTTGCAGACAGCTCCCCCCCATGACATTCACAGACCTTACTATCTTCCAACTATAGGTTTTATTTTGTGACTTTAAAATAATTTACATGGAACTGCATATAATTACCATTCTTTTTCTTATTTTACAAAGTTATCCTAACTAAAGATATCACAAAAGAATGAATTTTCCTTCAGAAGTTAATGCAGAATCGAAAACACAAAGGGAATGAAGTAAAGCAGAAATAAAGTATGGAGGAATTTTAAAAATATGTCAAATAATCTATCTACTTGGTATTAAATTTATCTTGAACTGGATTCTGATACATTTTTCTCTCCAAGGATGTCAGTGGAGGATTACTTGTGGAGTAACATGTATCAGTATGTATAAAGATGCTGAAATCTGGCCCTTTAGAAATAATAATTAGTCTCTTTTTATACCTTGACTATGATGGGACCATTTTTAATCAAGTTCTTTGATTCTGTAAAATGCTAGTTCCTGGTGGGATTAACCTTGGCCTGTGGTGGTATACTGATGGAGATTTTTTTTTTTATTTACTATCAAAAGATTTTAGAATACACTTCTTTTTGTTTAAATGAAAGTAACTAACAAAAAAGGTGCTGTTAATACAGTTATGCATTTTAGGTACATGAGGCTGTATCCTATCACATCTCCAAATGGATTGTCTCTAGCTCCAGAATATTTTAGGAATAATCCAAACTGAATCCCAGGTTAATTGTGGAAGGTTTCACTTCCATGTTGCTATAGATTTGTGGGACATTTTATTTTGCCTCTTCAAGGCAAAATAAATTAAACACAAATATAGATTTAATTTCTCAGATTATCTAGATGTTGAGTAAATTTAAAATTCAAATAATACATTTTTGAAATCATTTAATCTTTCTAGTGTTTGGAGTTCAGGGTCACCTTTTTTCCCTACAAGAAAATAGATAGCTGTCACTCAGGGTGCCAACTCTGAAACCTGATTTAAATGTCAGCAGTATTAACTGTTTTATTATTGATCATTTTAGTAAAACATTAAACTAATCTGCTGATTAATTATTACTGGATGGAGTGACAGCTCTGGGTTATTGGACATCTGGTTATTGATACAAGAATTTCAAGGACCCCTTTTAAAAATAAATGAACTTTTCATGACCCCCTCCCCCCACAACCCACTTTCAAAGGGAGGAGAGACATCTTCCATCCAGAGTCCGGCAGTGCCTTCACCCCTTTCTTGCTTTTGCAAAAGGGTGAGATAACTCCAGCCTGGCTGTTAAAACCTCCATCTATCCTTCTGCAAGCATCTATAACAGGGGTGGGCAAAATGTGGCCCGCGGGCTGGATGTGGCCCACCAGCCCATTCTATCCGGCCCATGGGACCCCTAAAAAAATGTAGAAAATGATATCCACCCCTGGCTGCCTGTCATGTGGCCCTTGATGGCTTCCCAAAATTCAGTAAGCGGCCCTCCACCCAAAATAATTGCCTGGCCCTGATCTGTAGTGCAGTTCTGTGCTGTCAATGAAAAATTTTGTGGGACGCTGAAAAATAAAAACTTTGGAATGGTAAATGATGAAAAACATTCCTAAAATGAGAATAAATTTAAAAATGAAAGTACTGACCCAAGACCTACTTTAACAATAAGGTTCATGCCCAATTCAGTAATAAAACATTTTATTTTTTAATTAAAGCTGCTGCAGAACTTTCAGTGTGCTGCAGAAATTAGCATGATACTTTTTCACAAATTAGGCTTGCTTTCTTCCTGCAGATTTGGGTCTGGTTTCTTACACATTTCATGAGGTCTGGAGTGTTTGTGATGTTGTCATCTGTTATAAGGGACAGCTGAACTCCAATCCTTGTACAAGCTAGTTGTTAACTTCAGATATGGCCAGTATTTCTTCTGTTTGATGCACTGAAGTAGATATAAATGACACTGCAAAATAAACTAGCTAAATGCCAATAGACGTGCATCTTAGTCTTATTGTCTATATTGGGGATGAAGACAGGGTAGATATACACCTTTATCGAATAACTAAGAGAGGGAGAAGGGAGAACAAACTTTTGTGAACCGAGGTTCACTTCATCAGATGAAAGTCAAACATAGCCCATGGAGCTGTGTCATCTGGTTCATGGCGTTCTTGAAGGGGCAGCTCCCACTACTTAATTCCATGTTACAGACCCCACTAGGAATTCATTTTTTCAGCAACAACGTAAACGATGACTGCATTAACCTCAGTGACTACCTGAGCTGATACAGCAGCTCAGGTACCCATGGACATGTAGCCTGCTGTTGCTCAGTTCAGATCCAGTCCAGGAGGAGTCTGTTGGTCTGTATTTGGTCTACTGGGGAGTGGGGGTGAATGAGTTTAACAATTTTGGTTTACATCATAGAAGAATAAAGGAAGCATCCAAGACGATTAGCATCAGTCAGTAAGGAAGAAAGAATGAGTATCATAAGAAATTCAAGGAAGCAGGCTGTGTTTTTTTTAAGGTCAGTAGGAAAGAAAACAGGAGCTCCTGCACAAAAAGATTAAGATATGGTTCCAAATCAGAATTTCTATTTGTTTTCTTTTTCATCAATAATATTCAGAATTTTTTGAGGAAAATGCTTTTATGACAACAGAAAAGTCTAGTTGTTATTACTTAGATCATATATGGGAACAAGATGGATGCAGAGGCCCATGTGTTAATAAAACCTGCGATGCTGCAGTCACTACTATTCTGTTTTGATACGTGGGCTTCCTTTCTCACACACAATTATTTTTTCTCTTTAAAATTTTAGAGGATGCAGCTAAAATTCCTGCCATTGCTCAGGATTCAGTAAGAATGATGGTTTTTATTTTTTGTCGCTTCTGGTAGCAGCTTTTAATGTGAAGTATATAGGATCATTCTTAATATCCAGAGGCAGCAAAGAATGCATTTTATTTTCTCCAGTATCTCCCACCATCTGGACAGAATACCTCCTCTGTGAAATTCTGGAGGGCTTGAAAGTTTTGCGTACTTGATTCTTAAGTTATTGCTTTACATGTCAACAGAGCCACAGTTCTTTTTCACCCCCTTCAATTTCTGGATACTGTCATCACTTTATCTCTTGCATGTGCTGTGGACAATGTTCTGGACTTTGCAGGTCAGTGTCAGGTGTAGACAAACTTCTACTTTTAGTATTAAAAGCTCAGAACGTGCTTTCCAGAGTGGGTTTTATTTGTTTTCTGATTTAAAGCTTCTACCCTATATTAAAGCACTGTTAATGATGAAGT